CGAAACCTTTTTTTTTCATAAAAATAACGATAATTACTTTGGAAAAGCAGAAATAAACTAACTACCTATATGAAATGGTGTTTAAGTTATTCCTTAAGTACTTTTAAATGTAATTACACGAACAATAATACTTTAAGAGGTATTTTAAAAAAAAATTTCCCATAAAACATGGTTATATTTTTCCATTTTGGGGGGGGGGGCTTCAGCCCGAAAGCCCCCCCGTAGATCCGCCCGTGAGGTAGAGTATAAATTGATTATTTAAAGTTGATTGAAATAACTTTTACAATTCCAATGATTTTTTTGTTGTGTGTTTTTTAGGAGAAATGTTTACATTGTTGAGAATGAATATTCTGTTTGATTCTTATTAATATAGTTCTTGGCATTGATGTTTCCTTTTCTTATTTAAATATTTATTATTCTTAAAAACTTAGTCCTAGAATATAGTTTGTTTTCTATATATCTATTTTATATGGAATTTTAGATTTTTAAGTATTATTCAATACACTGGCCAGCTGAGCCATATACTTTTTTTTCTTATATCAGTAGGGGATCGACCCTTTGATTATTGAAGATTAGGCCTTCCTGGTATAAAAAGAACTTCTTTCGTTGAGAAGTATCAACACTGAACTGGATTTTAATGAATGTATATATTTATATATGTATGCATATACCTGAGACACTTTTGCTCATATATTTATTGAGAACCCTATCTTATCTACAAGGCTGCCCGAACATGTTATCTCCAGGACTTGAACCAGGCTAATGATTGAGATAAACTTCCATTGATACTCCCATCAAGTAACAATCAAATTATGTTTAAAATCTTCCGATTCATTGATGAGGCTCTCAAGATAAGATCGTATGTGTTCAACGAATAGTTCTAAAATATGTTTTTCCAAATGTGTATCATTTCGAACAGATCCAATGATGTCTTCTGAATTGTGGCCTGATGTTATAAATTTATATTCATTGTCCCCAATGTACATATATTTTAGAGGTATTGTTCATAGATGTTTTCTTTTTCCTTATTATGCTTAAGTTGTAATTGTACAATCATATACTTCTTTCTTTTTTATTATAATTCATGATATTTACGACTATACGAGTTAATATATATTGGTACAGAGAAATACATGACATGACAAGGCTTGTAGAAAATCTACCCATTGGTAGTACTCTAATAAAGTATCTAAATTAGGAGATCACGAGGCCATCTTCTTTTCAGACGCCTAGGAGGGTTATCAGGGATCGAGAAGGAAGCAAGGCTAGAAAAGAGAGGATTAGGATGGTTCTGAAGTTTATTATTGAAGGATAGGTATCTGGATTGGGCCAAATCGAAAACATATGGAACATTGAGGTCATAATGGATTATTTTATTTGTTACAAAGTAAGGAGCATTAAAAATTTTACGAAGGATTGCAAAGATTGGATACGAGAGGAGTTCGATGGTTTAGTGGAGCCCCATAGCTCAACTCCGTAAGTGCAAATATGTCTTATTACAGTCATATATATGAGTCTTTTATTATTAATTGAAAGGTTAGAGCGTTTGTCTAATATAGAACAGAAGAATCAACTTTATTCTGGGACAAAGTCCCTTGAGAATAACAATATTGTACATAAAATTAACATTACATCTGGCCAAAATGCAGTCAATGCAGCCAAAATTTTATTATATATATATATATATATATATATATATATATATATATTAAAAACAAATGAAATCATCGAAGTTTTTCATAAAACATTATTATTATTTATTTCATATTATTAAATTTGAATTATTTCTAATATTTTTAACGATCTGTGCCGATAAAATTCATGAACAAGTTTGGGCTCATTACTTTGCTAGAAAATACAGTTTCTAGGGCACAATATGATTACGTTATACCTCTTACCTTGTTTATTTATCTATATTCGCTTAATTTCGTGTTTACAATAAGATGTTATGCAGTTGACAAAGAAATAAATTAGGGTGTATTATATTAATATTGTGTGTTATCGATGGTTGTTTTAATTAACAGGCAAAGAAAAGATAAACAAAAATTATTATCGAATCACTGGAGTGGTTCCAATCGATGAAAGTGAGCAATCGTATAAAAATAAAAATGAACAAACAATAACAAAAACAAACGATAATTATGGCAGTGATGTACTAGATGAGACAAAAAAAATGATCAATGGAATCCTTCACTCACGAGATCTCTTGATGCCACTCAATGAACCTAGTTATTTTTATATGCTTCTGTAATAAGCTGTTTAGAGATACGAGAGGCTACAATGTTTCGATTGAAGGAAATTTTTCCATTCGATAATATTAATAAGTGATTACTTAATAGGTATAAATAACCGCTAATCTTTAATTAACAAATAAGTATTAATCTGAGATAGTGTGAAAGAAGTGGTCCCAAAAAAAAAATAGCTACATTATAAATATTTTATATACATGTGTCGTGGATCTCAGGGTTGAAACGTTTATGGAATTTTAAAAAAAAGGTTGGATTTCAACAGTTTCTGTGAAACATTTAAGGAAAAGAGTTCTTTAAATGAAAGCTCTAAGAAAAAAATTTGTAATAAAGTTCCGGATTTATTGGAAATGTTTAACTTGTATTTATTCAATGTTATAAAAAACGTTTCGTTATATGAAAAATAAACAGAAATTGGGCTTAGAATAGAGTAATGATTTATCTTAAATGGATAACACGTTATAGTCCGTGGTACAGAACCCTTTTTATGGAATTATTAACACCCGTCAGAAACATTGTAAATAGTTTCATCTCATCGTAACCTACAACTATTTTATTCACGAAAACTCTTGGAATTGGGGCGTTTTAAATTTGGAGTGGGGCAAATTTTGTCTATTTAATTAGGTATTAAAAACACATTTGCTTTCTACTTGGATCGTAAGATAATCTGAACACAAAATAGATAAAAAAGGTGGCCTACAGAAATATTGGGCGGTTTGTCTTATATAACCTCGTTATTCTGAACATTTGGGGATGTAGGTCACGCCAAACGGCTCAATATTTTTGAAGGTCACTTTTTTTCTCGATTTTGTGATCAAATTATTTAACGATCCAAGTAGAAAGAAAATGTGTTTTTAAGAGTTTTTGTACCTAATTAAATAAACAAAGTTTGCCCCCCTCCATATTAAAAACCCCACAATTCCAAGAGTATTCGTAAATAAAATAGTTGTAGGTTAATAATTCGATAAAAAGGGGTCTGTACCACTGACTATTATTCTCTAATGTGTCGTTTGTTTGAGTAACTATGAGATCTTTTAGATCGATTTTTTAAAAATAAAAGTTCTTTAAAAATAAAAGCTCTCTAAAACTTTAACTTGAAAAGTCACAAGGGAAAAAGCTCTAGTTCTAAAAGAACTGAAAATCATCGATAGTAAAAATTCCAGTGATATCGAAACTTTATAGAAATAAAAGTTTTTTTCCACTACTTTATTCCGTTTCAAGCACTGCTTTATTTTTATATGTATTTCTTTGTTATAAGTGTTGACCAGAATAATGTTTGATGGTTATTGAGTTTAGAACTATTCAGCCTCAATGTCACATTTATTCAAATGAGATTGATTAGCTAACAGCTTTGGGATTTTCCAACGCTTCATTATTTAAAAAAAGAATTGAGTAATCTATTTGTACTAGTTTTCGCAAGAGAATATTGTTAACAGTTGTCCTAATGAAGGGAACTCGGAGTCAATCTTCAAATGTTTACAGCGGCGAAATTCAAGGTCTAGAAAAACTGATTTGTAATATTTCAAACATGGAGACATCGGATTCAGGGAAGAGGGAGAGACATCCCCCACCTCATAATTTTTTAATTGCGATACTGTTTCACTACCTTTAAATACTGCAATCTCATTTAACTAAATAAAAATAAAAATAAATAATTATATAAACATAGATAGAAATAAACATTATAATATTTTAATAATCTGATGGCTGCGCTACTGCTTTATGTGTAAGCCCTATCAAAATCAGTAATTTACTTCACATAGCCGCAAGGAGAGCAATGCGAACGCAGGATTTGTTTTTTTATAATACAGTAAGTGCAATAATGTCCTAGTTATTGTCTAATTGAGTGTATTTAATCATACCAAATGGTTCTCTAATTTGTAATGCAGTAAATTGTCATTGTTACTGATCATAAGACACTTGTTCGTACAAAGGCTTTAGTGTCCAATATAGTCCTATTACTAAGACTGCTGGGATATGAGTATAATTTACGATGAAAATAGAGGTAGAGTTTTGGTCGATAGTTAATAAGGGAGATGTGATTTGCACCACTATAGCTAGTCGATTAAATTTATTATTTCTAGCTTTCAATAACGAGAATTTAGAAAAAGAAAGAGTAAAGTACGAGCGAGGTGTGGCTATTAAACAATGATAAACGTTTTAGTTTGATTTCATATATTTTCACTCATTATCTTCAATTTACATCTCTCATTTGTCCCTTCAACACTCTATGCTTGTCTTCCATTGCCTGGAAACAGCGCTGCAAGTTTTCTTCGGCCAGCTCCTTCAGTATATGTGCTGCTTTCTTTTTCAACAAGAACGCTAATGTAATTATGTCGATTATTATTTTGACCTTCAGGAACTCAGCAATGGTGCGTAATTCCATGAATATTGAAACAATCATCATTGCTTTGAATTTTGATTTTTTCATTCGAACTTTTTTGGCTCTTTCAGTGTTTGGATTGGAGCTTTGTTTCAGGCTCGTAAGTAAAAAAACACAATTCGTAAAGCATTAAAAAGAAAAAGATTTGAGTTTGTTGAAGCTGTGAAAAAGAAAGCGGCAGGCGTCCTGAAGGAGCAGACAGAAGACTTCCAATACGGTTTCGGAAAATGGAAGATTCGCATAAAACATTGTAAGGATACAGCAGAGATGTATATTGGAGGTGATAATAAGTAAAAATATATGAAATCAAAACATTTTTTTTTTATTTTATAGCCACACCTCGTACTTTACTCTTTCTTTTTTTTCGATATTCACGTCACTGAAAGTTAAAAATAAGAAATTTAATTGACTATAGCATCACATCTGACTTATTATTTATCGACCAAAACATATAGACTCTACTTCTATTTCCATCGCAAACTATACTCATATCCCAGGAGTCTAAATTATAGGAAAAGTTATAGCATATAGAGCTAGGTTAGGTACTCTACTCTGTGTATGAAGAAGTATCTTATCATCACTAACAGTAACAATTTACAATATATTTTAATCAGAGAACCATTTGGTAGGATTAAATACACTGAATTAGGCAAAATGATTACAATTACTGTATTCTAAAAACAGATGCTACGTTCGGTTTAAATCTGTTAATAGTGATTTTGAGAGGGCGAAGTTTAGAACGCTTATAGATAAAGTAGTAGCCCATCCATCAGTTTATTAACTTTAATATAATATAATTATTAAATGTTTATTTTTATTTAAGTAAATGAGTTTAAAGTATTGAAAGGTAGTGAAACTCTATCATCCTCCAAAAAGTATGGGTGAGTGTCTCTCACTCTTCCCTGAACCTGGTGTATCCATGCCTGAAATTTTACAAATTATCTTTTTCCCAGACTTTGGATTTGGCTGGTGAAGAGTGACTCCAAATTCCCTTCATCAGGAAAACTTGTAACAATATAATCTTGTGAAAACTAGTACAAATAGTTACTCAATTCTTTTTTAAATAATGAAGCGTTGGAAAATCCCAAAGCTGTTAGCTAATCAACCTCATTTGAATAAGTGAGACATTGAGGATACATAGTCTTAAACTCAATGACAATAAGAAATCATTCTGTCCAACACTTCATTAATTACTTTTATTCATAGCTACTCAAAGAAACGACAAATTAGAACCATGTGCAATACATTTAAGACAAATTATTACTCTAATCTAAGCCCAATTGCTGTTGAATTTTTATGTAACAATGTAGAGATCGAAATAAAACTTCTTTTTTTCTTTTTTCTGGGAAGTTTTCTAATATTCTTAGTTATTTGGCAAAAATTACTTCCAATTGGTAACAATTGAATATATTTCTATTATCAACGTTACATGTTAACAAGTTGACGTTTCGGGATATTTACTGCCATCTTCGGAACCACAATTCCAATAATCTTGTGGATGCAAGGCTTAAAAATAATAATAATGTGCTCCATCGTCAAATTTCTGATTCATGTTATAAAATATATCATCTAGAGCAACATCTTGCTTTTGATCAATAATTGAGTCAAATAATAGTCACTATGGCAGACACCCAATTATTGGTCAAAAGCAAGATGTTGCTCTAGACGATATATTTTATAACATGAATCAGAAATTTGACGATGGAGCACATTATTATTATTTTTAAGCCTTGCATCCACAAGATTATTGGGATTGTAGTCCCGAAAATGGGAGTAAATATCCCGAAACGTCAACTTGTTAACATGTAACGTTGATAATAGAAATATATATTCAATTGTTACCAATTGGAAGTAATTTTTGTGAAATAAAATGTTTTACAACACCAGCCTTGTTATTTAATAGCCACAACTCTAAGTTCAGTGGTTTGCTCATTTTGGGTATTGTGTCCGTCTAAGGAATTCGGTTGCTGCTGATATAAATTGACAGAGAGCTATCTTGGAAGTTTGAATAAAAGTTTGCCATAATTTAATTGCTTTTCCCAAGTACCATTTGTATAAATTTAAGGACAAAACTACTTATACGACAGTAGGTAAAAGAATAATAATAAAAAGTTTGAACTGACTTACCTGCATTCGGTTTAGGGACTTCTCTGCAGTGACCCCGTCCATCTCAAGCCTCGCATGCCGCTGCTGCTGCGCTGCAGACTCTTGGTAAGACACGTCACCAGCTTGCACTCGCTTCGTTTCGGCTATATCTCGGCTAGCCTTCTCAGCCGTGAAACCGTCCTTCATTACTTTTGTTTTCGAAGCCGACGCGACCCTCTTCTGTTCGAACTTGAGGGTCTTGAGGTCTTCGTTACCTACAGTCGGCGGCGGTGGAGTTTCAGGATCCGGAAAGGTTATAAGAGGTTCCGGCCCGTCGTTGACCAAGTCTTCGACGGAGTTCCTCAGCCGACCGAGTGTGGAACTCGAGAGGTTCTTCATTTCGGATATGGAACTTTTCAGTTCTGAAAGGTCGGACTTCATCGATGAAGTTGAAGACATTGCAAGTCTCTGCGACGTTGCAGCAAGCCGGGTGACCTGAAACAAATGAAATAATATTTTAATTGAACTAATTGTTTATTTATTTAAAGATTAGCATGCCTTATCTCTGATGATATAATGATAATTTAAACAAATATAATTTTTATAACTCCTCATAGAATGAATACTAATTTAATAAATAAATATTTATAGAATTACAATACTTTAGGAAAATAAATAGTAAATGTGATTAGATAACTTTGGACCTTACATGGACTATAACATAGGAAAGAAATTTATGGCTTCCCGATATGAATGTGCAGCATTGAAAAATGGCATATCTGGTATTAATTTATATTTAATTATATAAATCATGATTATTATTAAAATCAAAGAGTGTATGTATAAGAGAATTATGTGTATCTTAGACCGCCATAAGAATTAGAAATTCAGGATTTGTGGCAAAATTGAGTAGGCTGCACTGCCACAACACTTGGTAGCTGATTTTGGCGCCAATGACACGCTCAGTTTTTTTAATAATATAGATAACAGTGTTTTAGAATTAGAAAAGTAATTTTTCATTACTTGATATAATATATTTTAATAAAAAAATTACACAAAAATACTCAAAATTATTAATAGATTGAAGTATGGTAATCTCTCTTGCTTTTGAAGGCAAGTTCTGAGCAAAATGCTTTATGACTTTGTTAAAAAATTAAATTAAAAAAGTCACATCATTGTACTTAGTTTTATAATGAACCTTGGACCGGCTCAAGGTACATTAATATGTTACCTTGATTCATGGTTTTTACTGAAGAAGTTTATAAAAGATTATTTACTGCCTGCAAGCGTGATATATTGTGGGCTTTCAACAGATGACATAAAAAAGTTAGCTTACCAGTGTAGATAAGTGATAATAATTATTGAACATTATAACAGCTAAAATCACAACAAATATTACCTAAAATACAATCGTAGCCCAAGGTATATAGGGTGGGCCAAGGTACAACTATAGTAATTGTACCTTGGGCCATATATTATTTTTAAAAATGTTTTTTTCGCTATAAAATAATGTCATTTTTTTTTAACTTCTTTATTGAGATATATTACAATGTGTCATTTTCAAGGACAATGGTAATAGTGATATAGAGTAGCCCATTCATATTATACACAATAAATAAAAATAATAAACAGCAATATGATAATACTAAAGTAAATGTATATAAACTAAAAGATACTAAACTAATCTAACAAAATAAATACTTTAATACAGACATGCATGCATACAATATTTACAATATTCAGTCACTCAAGCCAAGTCTTTCCCCACACTCGTGGAGAGAAAGGCTGGACTCTAGGAGATTCCAGCTTCTTTCACACAGCCGCAAAAATTAACATAGTATCTTCAAATTATGAAAAATAAAATTCTATTTTTAACTTCTAAAAATCTTTTTTATTTTAGAAGTTATGGAGATTTCAAAAAAAGTCGCCCAAGGTACACTTATATGTTCCTTAAACAAATAAAAATATCCTTGATGAAATAATGATAACTTTTCATCACTACCTAACTTAAATGCGGCCTCTTATGATAAAAAGATTCCTAGTCTATGATCTTTACTGTTTATCTATTTATGTTTATCTACGTCCCGAAATTACACCTTAAACTATATTTATTATAGATAAGAAGATAAATAAAATAATAAAAACAAGAATATTGGAATTAAAAAATAAATTCAATGCAACCACGTCTACATGTTTAAGTACGTATACTATTTTATTTTATTTGTTCCTACTTCTCATGTTATCCTATCATTTATAATTTTTATTGTTATTATTTTCATATATTTCAGTCATCAAGAAGACATGAAAAAATAGAGAAATTCAAATAATGCTTTTTTATTATTATGTAATAATATAACTTTAATATTTTTGATGTATATAGGTGTATGACTGTGTTTTTAATCTACTTATCATTAGGTTATTTTATTTTTTACTGTGCATAGTATTTGATTATTATTATTACTTTTGTTATTATTTTATAAGTTATTATTTTACTTTTGTTTATTTTATATTTTCTGTATATTTGGTGGAATGTGTTCATGTATCACTATAATTATTATCCGCGTGACAGATTATTATATTTGTAAATAAATAAATATAAAAAAAAAGAAATAAAAAAAAGAATGTTTTTTTAAGTTTTTAGTAATTCAGTTAATTTATAGTAATTCCTTCTTTTTCATTTATTCTTGTTTTTTAACGTTTGAGTTACTTAACTGATTTTTTCTATTCCTAGTTTTCGATTTCTAGCTCCTAGTTCGCTTAAATTATTGATAAATGTTAATAAATTGAAACTTTTTTTTTCTTGATAAGCAATATATAAAGATTTAAATATTGCCATTAAAGCTACTAATAATTCGATATTTCAATTCAATCTTAATCCTATACTCCTTTCACAAATATTAAAAATACCGAGGTCAGATATATCGATCGATACATCTTCCGATAATAATTAGAAAATTTACATTATAACTTATATAACAAATTATAACCAGACACATAATTGTTTCCTTTGTACAAAGAATTCCAAAAATTCTATCATTCAAACAGAAGGCTATTACAATAAACAGATTTAAATGTAACAATGTAGATAATAGATGTATACATTTATATATAATATTATAACTGAAAATGTGTATATATTTATATTATTTATCTTCTGTTTATAAATCATTTTTGTTTTTAAACTATTTCTTTATGTTTATAATGTAGATTTTTTGTTGCATTTTTTCTACTATTAAAAACTAATTTGCTCTCAAGTTTTTAAAATCCTATTGATTTTGTTAAACGCATTGTGATATAATATTAGTGAAATATGAAAAATAGCTAATTTATAAATATTGAACAATGTTATTATTATAGTTGTTGCCGATATATCGAATTGGTATTTCGATATATTTGTAAAGCATCGATATATTTTTCGATATTTATATCCCTAGCATTGAAAAAGACAGGATGAAATAAATCATTTTTGTGGACTGAAATATACCTTAAACCACAGCGATAAAAACACATCACTTATGACTTATGAAGACAAGCTTCACCAATCTTCATAAGTCATTATTCATAAATTTTGCTCCTCAATAATTTCTAAAAAATCTAACAACAAGAATAACTAACTATACCTACTAAACATTCCCGCTAAACATAACCTTGAAACAATAATAGATCACAAAAAGGAAATGAAAAAAAAAAAAAATGACAACTCATGTGGTCCGTTTCTTTGCCAACTTACTTCTTAACGCATTTAAATTTAAACCTGTTGAAATCTCATAACTGAAAATAGGAATGTGACATTTAGACTTCTAAATTGAAGCTACCATATCTATTTCTCTTCACTAATAAAGTATGTGTAAACCTCACACAATGAATCCGTTAACTGACTTTTTTTTACAGTATTTTCTTTTTTTTTTTTCTTCTTTTTTTTTGAGGCAAGAAAATTTGTATAAATCAATATTCAACTTATTTCGATAGGTATGAAGACAGTACCATCATATAATGAAGAATACAGTGAGTCACAATCAAAATTATAGACTTGGATAATAGAAATTATTGAATAAATAAATAGTTCAATTTATATTACATTCAAAACAATATTCTTTTTTTTATATTTAAGGCAATAATACTTCCAATTTTCTCCTAATTCTTTTAATTACATTGGTTATCTCAAACGTTTCGGCACAGTTTCCCTATAATCAGAGCAATCTTTATCTTCACTAAAATTATGCACATTTTATATTAACTTTTATTTAACAATATCATTCTACTTCATCTATTGTACAATTATTTACCTTTCTTTTTTTGATGTGGCACCATTTGTCAAAAATCAAATATTTGCCTCAAATACATTTTTAAAAAATATTTTTTTGGTGCTACACATCTTTTAAAAAATGTGACAAATATTTGATTTTTGACAAATGGTGCCACATCAAAAAAAGAAAGGTAATTAATTGTACAATAGATAAGGTAGAATATTGTTAAAAAAAAAAAAAGTTAATATAAAATGTGCATAATTTCAGAGAAGATAAAGATTGCTCTGATGATGAGAAAATTGTCCCGAAACGTTAGAGATAACAAATGTAATTAAAAGAATTTGAAGAAAATTGGAAGTATTATTGCCTTAAATATAAAAAATTATAAACGTAGGCGTCCTAATAAAAAAAGAAAAATAAGAAGATAACAATATTCTTTTGTAATAAAGAAAAAACATCTCAGTAAAGTGTTAGTTTTTTTTTTTTTAGTTCTTGTGTTATGTTTCTTGGTGTGGGGATGTATTGTAGAAATATTCACATGATTTAGTGAATAAACATATTTACATAGACATTTTAAGAAAAAACTTGAAAAAAAAAAAACTGTGGAAAATTTGGGCAAAATATTTTTTTGTTTTTATCAGGATAATGTTTTTATCCTTAAACACTCTGTCATGTTAGTTAAACAATGGTTACTTTATAACTGCCCCAAATTCATAAAAAATATCACCACAGTCACCAGATCATAACGTGATAGAACACCTGTAGGCAAAATTGCAGGTAGAAATTAGAAAACACGAAATTTATGGCAAAGAGGACTTAATACAAAATCTGCTCGAAGAATGGAACAGGCAAAGTTCGGAATCACTAAAAAAATTGGTCGATTCCATTACAAGGTGACGTAGAAAATAATGGCTTGCCTACGTGGCAGGGAACAAAATAGTTTTTTTTTTTTTTTTTTACATAGTACACATAATTCCTAGGAAATTCCTAGAATCTGAGGGAAAATCTTCTCTACTTTAAAATGGAAATCACTGAAGTTTTATTTTGAAAAATATTTGTACACATTTAAAATGAGATTATAAACAAATCCGTTTATAGAGTTTCTGGTTTTATTCATTTACTGTCTTTTTTTCTATTTTTCTACGGAGTTAACCACTGTATGTACTTTATATAAATATATAGGACATGTATGAATCTTTAATAAAAAAATTA